CTAATGGTGGTACATAGGGCTTTAAGCTAGAGCTTTTGGGTTTTAGTAGTGGTGGTGTTTATTTTCACGGGGTGGGATCACTAGCTAGCTTCACACCCACCCACCCGCCCTGTCCTCTTTACTAGCCTTCTCACTGACTGAGGAGTGCGTTCAGTAGCTGCGGATCAAACGCCGGATTACGTGAAGCGAAGTTGACTAGCTTTCTACTTTTGAACCACCGATGCATGGGTGAATGTATCTACTAACAATAATAAATTTAATCTCATTCTAGTTTTTTTTTCCATTATTTCGATATTTTAACCAAACCATTCCATGAAAGCTACTTTTGGTTCTATTGGAATTTATTTGGAGGATTTCATCATGAACTGACATAAGTTAGAGAACCATTGGAAAACCAGCCAGGAAGTGCTAGAAAGGCTACTCGTCAGCCTGGTATGGGACTCTCCAACAATACTCATCCACTCCACTGCTAGATTTTGAACCTAATACCTTCTGGCAACAAGACGAGAGAGCTCGTAGACCATTAAGCCACTGGAACCCGACCGATCTAATAGCTAGACCAAGAATTCTAACTTCTGCCAATTCACACACACGACATAGCATGACTACTTTCCAATGTCTTCTTCGATAAGTTACTGCCTCACCTTTAATTCGCTGTACCCTATTGGTCACGCCTTCCCGTTAGAACCTCAGGTTTTATAGGGAATTCTATTTGATTGGTTGGAGGATTTCATCATGAGCTGGAATGATTTAGAGAATCATCGGAAAACCTGCAGTGGAGTAATGGACAGCCAGCTGTTTCGTCGACCTAGTATAGGACTCTTCAGTAGTACGCACTCACCCCAATGCTAGGTTTCGAGATCAGGATCTTACGGTTACAAGACGAGCTCTTAAATATCAGAGCATCAGAATACAGCACAACATTTTATTAGTAAATTACACAGTTCAGGGTGAAAATTCATAACGATTACCTTTGAAAAAATTGAACTATTATGTGGTCTGTTTGATGCCTCGAATGTTATGAGATAAGAAGTAATAATAATAATAATAAATTTTGCTTTATTCCAAAAACAGTACTAATGATACAGCAAGGAATTTTCAGCATTCAGTACAATATTGCATCTAATTTACCCAAAAACGACAAAAAAAATTAAAAATACACAATACATAATAGTAATAAAACGATTGTTGTAGCAGCTACGTAGCAAAATACTGTGTGCCATACGGAGAAAAATATGTATAAAGTACAAAATTGTAGTAATAATAGTAATACCAACTAATATAAAATAGCAGAGTAACGATTTAAACGATAGAAAGTGTAACACCATAAAATACAGAAAGATGAACGATAAAAGGGTCGATTCACTGTGCTAATTACATAGTAACTTGTAAGTTTCACGTCTAACAGAGTCTTCGTCACATAAAGTACGCGCTAAATAGGGTATTGTAGAATTTCTATACTTAGTAGTACGAGCATATATCTTTTTATATTGACTTCTCGTCCTACCTGATGAGATACAAGGGGACAGGTGTGAATAAAGGGGGTGCAGAGGGTCTGACATTATAGCCTTTGCCCATTTCGTACAGGAATTTATATGCCTCTCGACTATAGTATTAGCGAGCTCATGCAGTGGCAGACCACAAGCTCTACTCACAGCATTTAATACTCTTCGTAATATGATATAATCTTTTTTGAGAAGCCCAGGAAAGATTAATGGAGAGCAGTAGAGTACAATAGGTAAAATACAGGAGTTTAAAAATTGCAAAACTAAAGGTTGGTTGATACCTGATTGTCTTAACTTTTTAATGTAGAAGGTAAGACGAAACATTTTCTTAGAGATAGATAAGATATGGGATGACCATGAAAGGTCAGAGGAAAAACTAATCCAAGGTATTTAATACTTGATTTGGTTTCAATTTCCGTGCCATCTATGCTACAGGGATCATGCGAGTTAACTAGTTCAAGTAAGTCACGTCGATGCTTGAAAGTAAAGTCAAGTGCCTGACATTTGGAAGGATTTAATATAAGACCATTTGACTTGGACCAGTTGTTGATGTCCAACAGAAAGCTATTAAGTTTGGAGCTGTCAGACTCGGAAGTGATAGGCAGTGATACAGTCAGATCATCTGCATATTTGACAAAGTTAGTTTCGTTTGAATGAGGCAGGTCATGTAGGAAGAAAGAAAAAAGAAAAGGAGAGAGGACAGCACCTTGTGGAACACCGGATTTTGTAAGCGAGGTAGAAGAAGATTTGCCGTTATATACAGTATACTGCATTCTATCAGAAAAATAGGAATGCAACCAACTCTTAGCCCAGGATCCTGTTTGTGTCAACGATAGCTTATTTAACAAAAGGCCCCTAGGTACAGAGTCAAAAGCAGATGTGTAGTCTAAGAAAGCACTACGAACATATTTAGCACCTTTGTCTAAACAAGAGACAACATTGTGATATAAGACAACCGCAGCATCCAAGGTACTTCTACCATGTTTGTATGCAAATTGTTTAGGATCATTAAAAGGTTTCAAAGCGGGTTCAAGACGAAGTAAAAGTAATTTTTCCATCAATTTTAAAAAGGGGGAAGTAATTGCAATAGGCCGAAATTTAATATCAGAACCAGAAGATGGTTTTGGTATAGGGATAATTTTAATGTTTTTCCATGCAAAAGGTAGAACGTTACCGGAAAAAGAAGCATTAAAAATGTTAGTAAGAGGATAACACAAAATATCAGCACAATTCCTGAGGACAATGGCAGGTATGCCGTCAGGACCAAGGCTTTGAGAAGGCTTAAGAGACCGGAGACATTTAAGCACATCAAGGGTATTAAAACCACTAAAGTTATTGTCAATATGATTTGTATCATTTGGAAGGGTATCAACAGAAGAGCGTATGAAAGATTTATTAAGAGTGTCAACATTAAGAGATGGAACAGAAATACATCGCTTACCGTTAGTAATTTCTTTGAAAAGTTTCCATAAATTAGAAGGGGTTTTACATGACAAAAATCTTTGATTATATAAAACATTTAGTCTTTTCATTTCCAGTTTTATCAGCATGTTTAACTTTTTTACACCAGGCTTATCATTAGTTTTGAACAACAGTTCTTTATTTCTACGTAGCTTTTTGAGATATGGCGAAGATAAGCGATCAAATCGAATGAATAATGTTTCTTTAGGACAACATATTTCGAAACAGAATTTAAGATAATCGGTAGTGTTTGTGATTGTTTCATCTAATGTTTGTTCTGTAAATAAGTCCCAGTTAGTGTCTTTCAACATGCATCTGAGCTTGTCTAGGTTGTCTTTTGAGTAGCATCTCCGTTGAACTTTACTGTAGAGGTGAGAGAGGACACCTTTGTGTGATTTGGAATATATTTTAGGCAGTACACGTATGATGCAGTGGTCAGAGTTAAGTAGAGGAGCACGTTTGCGAGCTTCATATATACCAACATCATTGATAAATACTAGATCCAGTTTTTTACCAAGACGGGTGGCAAAGTTAACAATATTGTCATGACCAAGTGATATAAGGAAGGAGCAATCGCTTCCATTGAAGTCGCCAGTTACTATTGATAAAGAGTTCTCGAAACAAGCTGCAGTATGATGTAATCATGATATCACCGGGATCTGATCAGCAGGTAGTACAAGTTGAAAGCGATTTGAACAAGGTCGCTTCCTTCACTTATTTAGGCTCCATCGTTTCCAACATTAAAGTTACATATGAGAATTTTTAATATTTGGTTTGTAAGGATTAGTTTTGTTCTTTAAGAGTTAATCACAGATTGATGTCAGTTAGAGAACCATTGAAAACCACCACTAGAGTACTGGACAGAAGTTTCATCCTAGGTTTTTTAATCATCGGCAGTACGCACCGACCACTATGATTCGAATCCAGGACTTTCCAGTTACAAGGCGAGCTAGCTCGTATACCACTCAGCCTCCCACTGGGACCTGACACCTCAATGGCAGCCAGCCCATGAATTCTAACTTCTACCAATTCGTGATGTATTTAGCGAGACTGTTATCAACCAATGTCATCGGTGGGAAATCCATCCTCATACTTGACATTTAGATGAACCTCACTGGTCACGACTTCTCTCACTAGAACTGACTCCAGGAAACTCTGTCCTCTAACAAGTCACTAGCGAATATCAGATTAATTTTCAAGGGTTTAGTTTTTAAGGATTAGATTTTTGTTTTTTTATTCACTTTTATTTAAGATGTACCTGCGGTTGAAGAGGGAGAGCATCCACGAAGCACAACGAATTCGTATTATGCAAAAACTTCAAATATACATTTGGTTGTTTCTTAAACACTCAAACACTTAAAGGCATTATTCACATAGAGAAATAAGGTCAGGGGAGATATATATTATATATATGTACATCCCTCTCTAGATAAACACATCATACCATTTAGAGAGTGTTATAAACGAACAAAATATTTCATTCTTAGATGTGTATTCATATCTATAATTCTAATAATTATTTCCTGAGGATAAGCTGTTTGATACATACGCACGCACGCACGCATATATGCATAAACGTATGTACTAGGCAGTCTTCAGAAGGGAGAAAGGAACAGTGGAAAGGAAAGAGAGAGAGAGACCGGGGTAGACAAACATTTGAGTAGTTGAAAAACAATTTAAACTATCTAAATGATAAGTAAATGAAGATATTATTATTTATAATTTTTATTTCCCAAATCTATTTTGCTTATCCAATCAAAAATCAACAAACTCCTGCTCAAAGACTATCAACAAAACGATGGATTTGTACCCTGTAAACCCTGTATACCCTGTACCCTGTCTCTTGTTCACTTCTTTCCAGCATTATATATGTATCCACGCTGTTCTAACATATAACACAGAAATGTATACAATCACTCATTTCATGTAAGTATGTGTGTATGGTTGTGTGTGTGTGTGTGCGTGTGTGTGTGTGTGGAGGTGTATCTTCTTGTATTTATTGTTCTCAGGTGGTATTCCACAATCCTCCCTATATTCATATTAAATTTCCAATAATAGTTATATTACTAATTAATTATTATGGTGTTATTTATAATTGGAGACCAGAGGAAAAAACGAATGCTCAAAGAAGGAATGGATTCATATCACCTTGTCTAGTGGTAGTACTAGTAGTAGTAGTAGGGAGGAATTCTGAGAATTTGTCATTCCCTTGAGTGTATATAAAACATCGTTAGTGTAAAGAAAAATAATTGTACTTTACGGAAAATCTACACATTAAATCATATATCATTTGTACTTGTAAAAATAATTATTACGCAATAATAATAATAATCGTATTGCAAACAAATATATATACATCATAGACTGTGCTTAATATGGAATTATCTCCAGGTCAAATCCATTGTAGTGATTCAGAAATCAATGATAAATTCCGCGTTATTTCAAATAATGTTAATCTGTCATTACCGTTAACTCTACCGCCAACATCAATATCAACGTCAACAATGTCGACAAGATTTGTTGTTCCTTCGTCAATTCATGAATTTTGTCAACTGAGGACATCATTTATGATTCATGATATTTTAGAGAAATCTACACAAACTACTATGATTATTAATACTACTGATAAGACAAACGATAAACTTCAAAATGAACAGTTTAATTTAATGAATAACATTGAACACATTGAATGTAGTAATGGAGGAGAGGGAAATTCGAAAATCTCTCAGAAAGCCATGTTATCATCATCATCATCACCATCATTCAAGATAAAAGAATATAAAGAGGATAGTAAACCTGGAATGAAAAGAAAATATTTTTTAAATGAAAATGAGTTAAAAAACACTCGACGAGAAGTCTCAGATTCAATACTGTCGACAAACAATGAAGAGTTTAGTCCAGAGTCAAAGTTACTGGCGGCAAAGATTATTTCACATTGTATTGATGGGTGTTCACATAATTCATTTAATAATCATAAAGGATCCTATTGCATAACAGGTAGGTGGTATTCTGGCGATTGTTTGCTGGATTTTTTTTTTAAATTGTTGAAATGTGTATGTAATATGTTGCGTCTTCTTTAGATGTTTTGATGCATTTTAAGTTATGATGACATCTTAGATGAGAATAAATGCGTTCAAAATAATTAATTTTGTTCAGATTCACTTGTTTGATGGTTACTGCAGGCAGGGGGATTAATGATAAGTGACTGCCCTATATCAGGACTCATCAGCTGCTTATAAGTAATTACTTCTGAGTGAATTGTAGTGTTTCCACTGAAACTTGAGTTTATTTTCGATCGCTTCAAATGGCCACAACATTGTCTATTAAGCTACACTGGGCCTGTAGTCTTAATCCTCGTAATATCTAGGTAATCATTCGTTCAAGGAGTAAATATTAGTTTGAGGAGCTGACATTATTTAGAGAACAATGAAATCTCCTAACCAATCAAAATAAAATTCCCTACAAAAACTTGAAAATTAGCCTGATGCTCACTAGTGACTAGGTGGTTACCTGGGGTTTTAGTGGGAAGCTGTGACCAGTAGGGTGCAGCAGGTTGAAGGTGAGACAGTAACTCATCGAAGCAGACATTGGGAAGTGGTCGCGTTATATCGTGTGTAAAAGTTGAAATCCATGGGCTGGCGATTGGATCGGGTCCCAGTGGCCTAATGGTCTACAAGCTCGCCTTGTAAACAGAAGGTCCTGGGTTCGAACCCTGACGGTGAGTGAGCACTGATGAAGAGTCTCAAAGCAAACTGACGAAACATCTGTCCAGCACTTCAGTGCAGATTTCCAATGGTTCTCTAATTGATGTCAGCTCATGATGAAATCCTGTGACTGACTATAAATCCATTAATTTAAACATACCATAATCAGCCAGCTAGTAAAGGCGAATTAGAATCATATCACAAAGTGTATTGTGGAACAAGTATAAGATGGGATGGAGCACTAGTCAGCTAGTTTTTTTGAATATGCCTGGTCACTAAGAGCATGAGATAAGATGAGATGAAATAGCTTAATGATATGTGTATATATATAGTCAAAAAAATGCTTCTTTCAAGAGTGTGTGTGTAATCAGTGGTGTGTGAGACAGTATGAATACCACAGAAAAATAAACCAACAAATGGGGTAGACTAGACATAAGCTCAGGAGTGACGATTAAAAGTAATAATGAGGGTGAAATTATAACGATGGTGTGGTGTCAACTTAAAAGTACTATGGGTGAACGATTATCAAATAATCATAATGAATTTAGTGAAGTGAAATAATGAACAGGATTTTGTAAATATGATAACAAGTTCGAGAAAGCATTACTTAGACCTAAGGTAAGAGAAATCATAAGAAAGATCATGAAATCGTAACAGGTCAGAAATGAAGGTTTGTCAGTGAAACAAAGGAATAGAATGAAGAAGAAAAGAAAATTGAGATAGAGATTTTAAGTGCTAATGTTTATGAAGAACTTATTGACCTTATTATAGGCCATGGTTGAATAGAATTCTACCGTATACAAAGATCTTGTCTTCAGGTATTGACTGCTACCACTTCAGCTACTGACAGAAGACGTAGTCTATCAGGAATCCAGTAGATAACCAAGGACGCCTGCTCTGGTTTTATTTAGTGTCTAGTATCGACAAGGTGGGCTAAGGCTGTATTGTTTGCGCCTTTGGTTATACATTTATTCAACCACACAGGTAAATGTCCACGTGCCCGCATGGATATAGCCGTCTGAGTACGGCTGATGTAACTAGCTCCAAATGTGCAGTGAAATTCATAGAAACACACTGATGAGAGTAACTTATCATTGACTCATTTTTTGAGTATTGGGTTTAGTTTGGAAACTGAGTACGAGTTTAGCTGCAGAAAATGTTTGCTCTATTGCTCTGTTAAGTTGACATGTTAAAATGTCAGCTGAAATCTCCCCTTTGTCACTTAAGGTACGAAGGTTTCTTAACTACGGTATCCATCCATCATTACCCTATCTCTAGGATATCGATATATACTTTTGTTTAAGAAGTTCTCCGGATATCCATTTTCTTGTAAAGTGAGTTTCACTTTATACAGTTCTTCCTTAATGCATATTACCTCTCTTTAAATGATATTATCAACAGTCAAACATAACTTAATCTAAATAAAATCACAATATATGACGTGTTTTCAAACACGTTGCAACTTTTGAATAATAATAATAATTTTCGATAGTTTGGTTTGTAAGGATTAGTTTTGTTTTTTTACGAGTTGATCACGCATTGATATCATCAGTTGGAAAACCATTGTAAACCAACCAAGGAGTACTGGGCATCTGTTTCACCAGCCAAGTTTTGGAATTCTCGGTAGTACGCACCCACCCCACTGTCTGGGCTCAAACCTAGAACCTTCCAGTTACAAGACAGTCTAGCTCGTAGACCATTCAGCCACCCACTGGGATCCAACAACTCAGTGGTCAACCCATGAATTCTAACTTCTATTAATTCGTGATGTGTATTTAGCACGACTCCAACCAATGCCGTCGGAGGGACACCCATCCTCACACATGACATCTGGATGAACGTCACTGGTCATGACTTTTCATTAGAATTCCAGGAAACTCCATCCTGTAGGAATTCACTAGCGAGCGTCAGATTAATTTTCTATAGTTGGTTTGTAGGGATTAGTTTTTTGTTTTTACGAGGTAATCACTGAAGGTCCTGGGTTCAAACCCAGACAGAGGGGTTGGTGCATCCTGCCGATGATTCACAAACTAGTAGGATGAAACAGCTGGCTGTCCATTACTCCCTGGTTGGTTTTCAATGGTTCTCTAACTGATATCAGTCTGTGATCAACTCGTAAAAGCAAATAATAATATATATTTTTTATATAAGTACTCAAACTTATATGAAAAGAATGCCATTTCTGCAGTAATGATCGAAAGAGATGGTGTAACTTCAAATCGTGGGGTGTCACTGAATTACTATTATTTCCGTAGTTCAAATAGTTGACTTATAATATAGTACATCGGAACATATTAAGCTGATTGTACTCAATCGATAACCAACTAATATTCAGGTAAATAACTGAATCCCCGATGGATGGATGGATGGATTGATTGATTGATTGATTGAAACTTATTTCAGGGAGAGAGGAAACGCATTTATTGACCGTGTCTGAAGGAATATTAACTGCAAGCGGCTCATCACAGTAGTCAGTATGCAGTTAAACGCATACAGAAGAAGTGTTATTACTCCAATGGTAGTCGGCAACAGGTAGGGTTCAGTTCAGTGAATACTCAGTAAGGAACCAGAATAATGTCTATCTAATGATAATAATAATAATAGAAGTGACTATATTAAAAAAAAGATGAATGATATATTGAAAGATACACAGAAGTTCCAAAAATTTGAGGAGAAGAAAGATTTCAATAACAAAATAGAGAATGAATTAACCAGACGTTTGAAGAAACTAAGGGTGAAGCGGATATTTTCTGAAAGTTTATCTGAAGAAATCAGACCAACTGGCGCGTATACGCCAAGATTGTATAGCCTACCTAAAGTGAATAAACCAGGGGTACCATTAAGACCAGTACTTGATCTGCTCTAGCTAGACGGTTAGTAAATATTCTCAAACCTTTGCATGAGAAGATAGTGAAGTATAGCGTCAAAGATGTATTTGAATTCGTAGACAAAATAAAAGATATTAATATCAAAGACAAAACTATGATATCTCTGGATATAACATCGTTATTCATAAATGTGCCTCTAATAGAAACAGTTAATTACATATGTGAACAAGTGGACAAGCAGTCGATAAACATTGGCATCCATACTGAAATCCTAAAAGAATTGATATTAAAATGTATCATGAATGTAAAATTCAAATTTAACGGTATGCTTTACAGATAAGTGGATTGGTTGGCGATAGGCTCCTCACTGGGTCCCATTTGGGTAGATTTTTTTTTCTAAGTAAACTAGAAAATGGACCTCTGAACAGCCACTTTATCTGAAAATTCTCATTTTATTGCCGGTATATGGATGACAACTTTATTCTTCATGATAATGCTTCGGATAGGAGTACACAATAATAACTGAATTCAATGAAGTACATTCTGCTTGTGAAATTCACATGCGAAGAGGAATCCCAAGACCGAATTGCCTTCCTGGATGTCCTACTTACAAGAAAACCAGGTGGTAGTATAAAAAGAAATTTGCATAGAAAAAGTACATGGACAGGAAAATATACACATTTTCACAGCTTCGGTCCTCTCAAGTACAAAATAAATTTAGTAAAGACCCTCAGCCACAGAGTTAGAGCTATATGCTCAGAAGATATAACTGAAGATGAACTAAGCATTGTAAATGATCTCGTCATTGACTGAAAATAACTATCCTGAAAAATTTATCGAGGAACACATGACAAAGAAAGCGGAAAAGGACTACTCACTATCTGTAAAAAAAAGAAGCCTCTTTATATACGATTTCAATTCAAGGGCGATATACCAAGTGAGATAATTACGAAGAAATTAAGAAAATCAGTTCAAAGAACTTTTAAGGCTGGCGAACTACACGTATTATTCTTTACACGATCGATGGTGATATTCCTCTTTTGAAAGATGAAGTACCCAAATTAGTCACTTCCAAATGAATCTGCTCTATTCCAAGAATAGTACTTATAATACAGTATGGAATTTCCAGCAACTGTCAGAATATTGTGCATCGGTGGCACAGTGGTTAGGACTGTCGCCGACCATGCGCACATGGTCCGAGGTTCGATCCCCTGCCGACGCACACCTGATATCTATGGTCGGACGGCAAAATTTGCGCTGCCGATATGACATGCTGAAAATTTCATACTTGTACCAAAAAAATACGGTGTGGAATCAAGCTGTAATAAAAAAATAATAAAAATAAAAAAACAAAGAAATAAAATAAAATTTACTCGAAACATCATAAGGAAAATTAACCACAAGAACGTTCCCACATTTGCAGTAGGAATAATGTTAAAAATGTGTAAAGTACAAAATGCGAATA